TAAGGAATGTTGTCCCACGGTAGCGGTACGCACGAACCTGGGATATCACAATGCTGATAGCCTCACAACTATGGACAATAATATATTAATTTACTTGTTCCTTGTTTCTCAATTTTAGATCAAATAAATTATGGCAACCCAGGAGTCGCTAACAATTATTACCTTTCTCTTATCACTGACTACACCTCCATCCATCGCTGTGCCATACATGGATTTGATGGACTGACATACCAAGCAAGGTAAATATTGCACGCTACATTGGTATATGTTCAGTTTATTATTATGTCATATTAAGACTGTTGGACATTATTTTTTTATTCAGTAATTCCCCTATATGGGAATGTGATAAAATTCGAAGTTAACCCCCAGTAAAGATTTCACAAAATCAATTGAAATAACGCTGTACCTCGACTGGTTTCAATTCTCGAGGCCCCATATATGGCACAATTATCTGCATTATCGTTTCATTTTTGTTGATGATTGTTTCGATAGTGTTTTGGTGCCGGAAGATAGAATAATTGATACTAATTATCGCCCCCCGTACTGAAGACACATAACATCCCAGATAATAGCAACAAGTGTTGGGAATGCGGATAAGTCGACAGGACATGGTCGCTTAAATGAGGCAGCTTCTTGATCTGCACGGAAAAATTACCAGGACCAATGCATTCAAATTGACTTCGGCAAGAAAGATGTTGTCGGAGCGATTTCACTCAAAGTCGCCGTAATTATAATTAGTGGGTGAAGACCTACTCTGTATCCTATAGTTCCGACGGGCAAAAATTCGCTCATTACAAAATAAATGGATTAGTCAGGGTTAGCTGGATTAATAAGCAAGGCTCCTACAGATTACCCTCTCACGTTATATGAATCACATCATTTCCATGCGGTCATATATAACTTTTAATGTGTGATTAAGATTAATTGTTTAACAAATTACTCATTTCATTAGAGACTCACTAGTGGAAAATGTCCTATCACCAACTGTAACCGCGCTTTACACCCGCATTCATCCAAAGACATGGTACGCAACATATCTTTGAGAATTGAAGTTTATAGCTGTTCTTCAGGTATGTTCTAGCAATTCACTGAAATACTATTTGTTCACTAAGGAATGAGAAATCACTGAGAGACCCATCTGACTGAAATATATAGCGAAAATATTTCAATAAGTGGCTTATGTAAGAGTGAGTTTTTGATTTAGAAATAAATTGTTTACACGATGAATTTTTTTTCTATTTTTCCATTCTTACCCCTCCAGCGGGTTTGTCAGGTTTTTTACTAACCTAGGTGCATTGGAATACAAGTAAAAATAAGGCGTGTTTTAGAAGTTATACCTGGACGGGGAATCCAGCATATCATTTTGAGGAACAAAGCTATTATAGCGGTATATACTCAGGGCTATCACAATCAAGTTTAGTGTTATCGCTTGATTTAATGTTTGCTGCACGGTCGGATTCTCACAATTAAAAGAAAATCAAGCGAAAAGTTTTACACGTACAAAAGTATAGGTATGGAACTGTTCTTTAATTTATCGGAAGAACTAGCGCGTTTTTAACCCACCACGTGTGTCAATGAGGATGCATATTCCTTCGATGTGATCTTACATGAAGCATTTTCAGCCATGCTATGCAAATTTTATGTTATTATCATAATAATTTCTTTAGAAATTCATTGTTTTCACAGTGAATGAACTCCAAAATATTAGCAGAGTATGACTAAATTGTCGTGTTGGCTACGCAACTGAGTATTTTTTTTGCTCGCAGAGACTCGTCTGTCGAACGTGACCGTCGGCTAGTCTTCACCATTAACGCAAAAAACGTTCGCAGAATGCGCTCTGCTTTCGTGAAACGAAATCACGGACAAAACTCGGAATTAGATTAAGTTCAATACACAACCGACACAAACCTTTATAAGAGTTTCGTCATCCGAGGAACACAATAAAACATTTTCTGGCTAGAGAAGAAAAAGTTAAATTATGGTCGTTAAAGATTAGGATATAAAGACTACTAGTAGTGATAAATAAATAAGTGCGCGCTTACCTTCCAATCCCTGTGGGTGATGCCATTTTCATGTAAGTGCTAAAAATACGAAACAGTATGAATAAAGTTAGTTTAGTTCAGGCTCCTGTAGTAACACTGGATCAATAACAGATGATCCTTAGCTTGGTGTCATTAAAAGCGCCAATCTCTTCCTGACATTTTCCATAAACTTTAGTCATCACCTGTGAATAAAATATTCCAACTTGTTTCATTCATTCTTCGAAGTCTACACATGGCTAGACTCTCGCTAAACGACATCCTCACCTGAAGGCACACTGCTTTCATAGTTGGTTTAGTTGTCAATCGGAATCTGTGGTAAAGATCGTTAAACAACTCGAGCCTGAAAACAAAATAGAAAAGTCGATCGAATCGTGAATTGTTTCATCCATGATTCTATACTTCTCTACTACATACTGCAGGACAAATAACATTGTGTGAACTGTGCAGCATGCAATATGGAAAATAGGACGCTGAGGTATATTATATATTAGGTATCTAGAATCGTTTTTATGCAGCGGGAAGCAAGACAGTAGTTTGAATATTTGCAAATCCTGATAGATAAATGTCGTGGACTCACACATTTGTTATCGGCGTCTCCCCGACTCTCAAATAATAGTCGCCTGATAGGAGAGATACGTTACTGAGTTTGATTGCTATTGAGGGATAGCCGGGGGGGGGCGCTTTAAGAAGAACTGTTAAAAAGCTAGAGCAGTATAAGGATTATCACTAACCTATTTTCAGTTGATCATCTAACCATTCATACAGGACTTCAAACTAAAGGTGATTCCAAAAAACAACGTAGTTTCCACTCAGATCTTTTTCCATTGCAAATGCGCGCATCTCAGATTCGAGAGCCCCAGAAGTTCCTCTCGCGTCTGTCACATTGAAAACAAAATAAATTGTTTCAAACTCTTTTACGAGAACAGTTTAGAGAAAGAGGTCAGGACTATTGAATTTGTCTTGTTATACTCATAGCGACAGGAAATCCTCCATTACCTTTTCATTTCCTATATTTTCAACGGAAACTAACCTTAACTTCGAGACTCACCTTGTAATTCCAAATCAGGTTGTACGCTTTCAGATCTTGACTGAATCTGTAAAAAAGATCCGTTTAAATACCATTGCTTTTTCATCTTTCAAACGACTAGAACATTTTCCCATTTTCTTAATATGAACACTTACTTGTAATAAAACAACTGGATTTAAATTCTCACATCTTTCCTGGATTTGAATCCTATTTTTGTCCTCCAATGCGAGAGATATCCTTCAAGTTGATTCCTTGACGTTCCTCTCGCTTTTCCAGAGCTCTAACAGACAAGTATAGCACTTGAAATAACAGGCTTATACGTACATACAAGCATGCATTATGAAATTTTGGAACACGATTGTTGCCTTAAAACGTACTCTGCAAGCTTTACATTGTCACGAATTGATAAATGATCTTCTTTAGTCTCTGGTGGCTAAAGGAAAGATAAAAACTTTCCAACAAAATTGTTTCTTTACAAAAAGGTTTTACACTTCTGAATGAATTACCTTTTAATTATTTCGTCAGTGGGACAGTTTATGGATGAATGATGGAGTTTAGTTACCAAAGCAGTTGATACCACTTAGTCACTATTACATAATTGTTTATGAACCAAAACTTACGAACAGGAAATCTCGCATTTAAACTTTATTGTATATTTTAGACATTAAAAACTATAACTACTTTAATACGAACATTATTGTCACAAGTAATGCCATTGCTGTTGGATGACCAGTTGTCCAGAGAGCCACAAGATGTCCACTCAATTGCCTATATGCCAACAATAAAGATTATAAATTACTTATGGAGTATGCTTGTTAGTCTCAATTGAACTATTTACAGATGGCTAGTATATAGAGGATTATAAAATCACAAGTTTTAAGATGAATCTAAGAATGTTGCTAAAACTACAACTCAGGTGCTCCGGATGGAATCGAAGCTATACATCTGCAACAATTTGTTAATATATCACACTAATTCGGGTTTTAAAGGGTCTTAATTTCGAGTGGTATTGTTATACACACTTCAAATTCAAGCCAGGAACAGTTGATGGAAAAATGAGTCAACTATACGTTCTCAGTGACATGAGCATTGCACCGGCATCGCAAAAGCGATTCCTACCGGAGGATCTATAGTTGACTCATTTTTCCATCAACTGTTCCTGGCTTGAATTTGAAGTGTGTATAATACCTCTCGAAATTAAGACCCTTTAAAACCTCTTAAATATCAACTGAAATAATATGTACATTCATCACTGCTAAAAAAATGCAGAACGTTATAAATGACGTTTGTCAAAATCAGAAAATTCTCAATGGAGGAATGAATGAATAAAACGTACCTCGATTATCGCCTTCAGAACCATGCCAGCACCTTTCACAATTGTTGTCCACGGATGCTGAAATTGTTGAGGAACGAATTCAAAAGCACGATTGGTAAGAACCATTAGCGGGGCAATAGTAAAACATACATAAGCGAAGAAATGGTACAATTGGTACTATTTATTGCAGTTTTATCGTAAACCTACCTGAAACAATCGATAAATGCAATGACCCATTCCTAGACAAACAAATAACAGACTTCATGAGTTGCTCCCATGCATGGGTCAAGCTAGTGGACGTGGTAAACTTCACCAAAAATGTAAAGAGAGAAAAGCAATTTAATCAACTTTCAACGTCAGTCAAAGAGCCATAAACTACCAAGAAGGCAAGTTGAATGAAAACTTCTCAAATTTCTTTGTAGCATACCTGCAACTTTCTCCAGTAATTTCCCAAACTGTTCATCGTCTGTTGTCTCACTAAGAGGAATATGCAATAGTCGATTTATTATAACAGACCACATCAGTTGATTCAAAAAAAAAATTAGAAGCAATCACACCTTACTATTAGTTTAACATGAATGTCCAACTTCACCCCCCCATTATTTTGATATATTGCAAAGCAACCAGAACTTTACCTGTAAAGAGGACACAGAGCAAACGTCAGAAAATCAAGCAATCAACTTATACCTTAAACCCCAGTAGAACGATTCTAGAAGAAAAGTTTTCATGGTTAATCTATTTCTTGTGTTAATTAGAAAGGTAGTCCAAATTAGAAAGGCAATTGCTACAAATCACTTGCTGAGTTTTGCAAGGGTATTTCTCTTCCAAAACAAGGCTATATACATACAAGAGGGATGGAAAAATGAAATGTATGGGTTCAGCATAGATTATAGGCAACCAACACCGCAGATCTTACCACATTTATCGTGAGAATTCCCAACAAACTGCTTAGAAATTTTCACAGGATAACAGAGAGCTTTTGTTTATCTGTTCTTCTCGAATGTCATAGTTATCGTGCGTTGGCTATATAAAACAACAGAATTGGTTTCGATAAAATTACATCCTGTTAACATGCAAATTTCAAAGTTGGCTGAGTTTACGTATTTCGTTTCTTGCATCTATTTAGCTCGGAAATTTCGCCGCTATATTCTTAACGAAATACTCTATTTTAAATTTAAATATGTCCGGTCTGACCATGCATTTTGGCCGCTTAAAGGAAAGCCCTGTCTTTACCTGCATCAGAGCACACATGTCGACAGCGGCGTGAGTCACGGCTTCATTATTCCTCTTCAAAGCTTTCACAGTTTTCACACCAACCTTCTCACGCAAGTGAACTGGTTGAGTAAACAGCGTGTGTTGTGGTTAAAGATAAACGTTTCTCACCTAGTGAGCGTTGTGAAAGCGCGAAACCTGCTTTGGATCGAACCCAACTTCTCAAATCGTGAAACAGTGCTTCGAGATCTTTATCTCATATTTTGTTTTGGTCTCCTGCAAATAGACGAAACTTTTTAACTATTTTATGTATATATAGAACACCTGCGAAGGTAATAGCACTCAGAATATGTATATTTTAGGGTTGAACACTAAATAAATTTATTGGCAAAGATATACAATACCTTCGTGAGCAATGAGCATTGTGATGGCATTAATGATAAGTCTTTCTTTATTCTCCGACAAAAGTCCCTACAAAATATTTAAAATCGTTTGAAATATATATTGGAGTTTAAAAGACTGAATATTCCGGCCGTACTTCTGCCGGGAAAATTTCAAAACTACCATTTCATGGATTCGGACCCAGTCAACTCAGCAACCAGAGTTACCGCAGCCTAGTCCCTAGGCTTCATAACGTTCCTTATACGCGGCGAGGCGGGAACTGAGAGGCCTAGAACAAAATGTTTTGTATTTTGGCTAAAGTGGGGACTTTTTGTCCCCACTTTCTGTATTGAGGTCAGTTTACGATCTACGACGCGGTTAACTGGCCTTGTTCGACGTCGTTAGTCAAACATTTGCTTGAAATAAGCTACGGGATATTGATTATACTGCCAGGAGTCGAAATATTCATACAAACGTTTCAATGTCGCTCGCCGTCAACGCTATCGACTATCAAGTAAACTCGAGTCCGTACGTACATGTTTATGATTATAATAAACTTCAATCCACCAATTTAAATTATTCTCGCTTCCTTTATAACGGTTACTGTTGTAAATTGCAAACACCTACTTTAATAACAATTCTAATTTCAAGTTCACAACATTAAACGGGCCGTTACGATTAGAAAATATTTTGTGTTAGGCCTCTCGCGCGCGTTTCATTCGGTGACTTCACGGAAATATAAAAAACCCGCAATGAGAGGCCTGGCACTAATCTGGAGTTACGGCGGTTTTTAGGGAGTACTATTAGTGTTTTGTGTACATTTGTGCACAGAACAGTAGCAGGATAGGGTATTTTTATTAAAGCCATACTCTTTGCCTTTGGCTATACTGGATAAACCAGTTTAAATGTACCGTGTTGTTTGCAGACGTTTTAAACCCTGCTAAATATTTTCAATTAGCAGCCGAAATGGGCAAATGTTTTCATTTAACGTAACTATGCAGCCTAGCAATCGTTTAGTTTACACTAAAGGCTGCTTTCTACTTACGCGTTTTTTATACGCATGTACACATACGGAGAATTTTAATTGCTTTTAAATTTTTATTAATTAACATGCATCTAGGTCGATTTATTCACTTAGTTTTTTCAAAGGTAACATGTATAAGAATTTAGATTTTAATGTGCGTGTACGTGCGTATGAAAAACACGTGAGTGGAAAACAGCCTTAATCCAGATTTTGACAAAACATTAAAACTCAATAAAAAGGCAATAATATTCTCTACACAGGATTTCGTCTGCAGAAAAGTACAAGATAAGAAGTTGTCAACTTACGTCTTGGGTGACTGCATGAAGTAGACCGCAGTAGGAAATATTGCAGTTAAATCTGTACACAGCTTCGGTTAAATTTCCTGCAAGGAACCAGTCATAAGACAATATAAGCTTTTGGAGATATTTCAAAAATTTAAAGTGAAATAAAAAGAGAAATATTTCACCAGGAGACGCAGCGAGGAATTTAAATGACTGCTTTCTACTTCTTCGTCAACAACACTAAATTCATAATTACCCAGAGATTCATCTTCAGTATTCTCAATATCATTGGCAACTACAAACATATAAATATAGCATTATAGCAACATTTATGTCATTATTGTCATTAGGTGTTTCTTATAGGCCCTATAGCATTGTAATGTGGGGCTATCCTAAGTCCTATGTCACACAACATCATGAAGTCCTGGTTTTTGGGGTACTTTTTATACCTAACAACATGGGACTGATTTTCAGGGCCAAAAATATAACTTGACCTGATTTCATCATTTCTGTATGGATTTTGTCATAAAAGATCATAATTGAGGGTGACAAGAATTAAAAGTTGAAAAAATTTAAAACTGATGTTAACATACATGATTGGAGAACTGTACTGTATATGCTTTAATTACATGCAAATCAGTTTGTTATAGGTAAATAATCCTTACTTTCAAAGTCAGAGACCTTGCACAAGTACAAGTTGACTCGATTATAAGGCCTTCCAATTGCTTCCTTATATCTCTCAACTGTAAATGGCTGTGAAGTTTCTGGAATAGTGTTAACCAGACCAAAGTCTGGGTACATCAGAACACAATCAAAGTCACCAGAATCCCTCAGGTGTTTATTATGAGCCAACTGCTTGTCGATCCCTAAACTTTTCACTTTACAACTGGAATCATTTTTTTTTTCACATCGAGAGGTAGAAGAGAACCTTTTTTGACTTTTAGCTGCCTTGCTACTCCACATTCTACCAACCCAATATTTATCTATATAATTACAATTTCATAATAATCATAGATTGCATCATGTAAACTGATATGACAACTGTATAAATGCTAAACCAAATGCTATCTACCAAAATAATATTAAGTTTACTATTACTGCTAAGTTGTACTGCCAAATTTATCAATGTCTTATAACTTTAGAAAATATATGATGATAAGGAGGAACCCGTCATGTGTCAATCTCTAGTATAAGTGTGAAATGATAAACAAACCTTTACAATTTCTTCCTTCTTTTTTTTAATGATTTCGTTCTTTCATCTGATTTTCTTTTTTTCATTTCGTTAAAGGTTTGTTGACGTTGTTCTTGGTCTTTAGTTTCTCTGCTTGATCCTCTCTTCAGAAATTCTTCAAAAGTTAAAGTTTTTAAGCCACCACTTGCATTATTTGACATTTCCTTGGGCTTTGTAAGATTTCCGTCTTTTAATGCTGAGCCACAGGAATTGCAAAAATTTTCATTGCTGTTAACACATAGGTTTCCGCACGATGGACAAAACATCTATATATATATATATATATATATATATATATATATATATATATATATATGCAGTTAATAAATTAAATTTTTATAACTTTATTGACGCCTCATCATATTAATACAATGTAATATTAATTAATACAGTTTTGGTCAAATCAATTGGGAAGTACACAAAGCAGATAAAAATGTTTATATTTAAAAGAGATCATTCCCAAATTAAAACCAAAAAAACTTGCTTATATGCGCAAAACCTAATTCTAGTACAGTACATGATGGGGAATGTGTACCACGTATCATCCAATGTGAATTTATTATACAACTAATATACATACACATTTGCATAAAAATGGATGTTGTGATTTGTGCCAATTCTAAGTTCTGAGCACCACGGTACGCTGCGCAAATATATTTCCAAAAAGTATAAAAATGGAAGGAAATGCCCATAAAAATAACTTTTAATGGTTTTTTAAAATCAAAGCTTACCTTATTTGCAAATTTGATACAAGCCAGATTGGAAGAACCACGTGTTTGTCATGGCGCTAATTCTTGCACTCAGCGAAAATAGCCTTCCTTTTACTGACAGGGTATGTCTGTACCAGTCTGTACTTCCTTTTTCTCCGCGTTCAAGTTGTTAGTTTTGCGTCAGTGTTTTGAGTTTGCGTTCGTGTTTTGAATTTGCGTTCGTGTTTTGAATTTGCGTTCGTGTTTTGAATTTGCGTTTTTGTTTTGAATTTGCGTTCGTGCTTTCATGATTTGCGTTTATGTTTTTGAATTTCGTTTGTGTTTTTGAATTTGCGTTTGTGTTTTGAATTTGCGTTTGTGTTTTGCACCTCTGGGCCACCGTACTAATGTCTAGAAAAATGGACTAAAATTTATTCAAAGTACCAACATTTTATACCTCATATAGTAGAGATAACGTTCCTAATATGTTACAAAGCACATTTAGTACTTCAATTCGGATGCCCGCCCTCTCTTCACATCTAAAAAAAATTCCCATTAGGATAAGACTGAGGCTACATAGAAATACATCACGAACTTAAACAAAAAACAAAATACCAAAATATTACATTATTACAAAATTTTGTCCGCAAAGAAAGTCATAAAATTGTTAGCTAGATTCTGATCAGATTGGCACACAGGATATTGAGAATCAGGGATATGATGTAGAAACTTTCCAACGGTTTTAAATAATTGCCTTTGGTCTATCCCATTATCTCTAACAATTTCAGAATAGTAACGAGTACGACTTTCCGATAGTAGCTCACTGACACGGCGACATGGCTGACTGTATTTTAGACGATCACAGGATTGTCTTGACTTACGCCATACCCGCTCGAGTTTCCTTCTGATACGTTTTTCGTTTTCAATTTGTTCAGTGTACCAAGGTGCAGCTGGACGACTAATTATCTCTCTGGTGATAAGTGGTGCATGATGATTCAGAATTCTGGACAGCTCTGAGTTGTATTGTTGACTTTGCACTAATATAGCCGTGTTCCCAGTGATAATCGGAGATAGCCTAATGTCATTAAAGAATGAGTCCATATTGATTGCTTTAATTTTACGCGACTCCACGACCCTTCTCTGAAACAATGTTTTTTTAAAATTGAGTTCACATGTAACCGTGTAATGGTCAGATATAGATGGATCATGGACGTCAATAGATTGAACAATATTTCCCTCATGGCAAGACAAGATAAGGTGTAACGTGTGACCAGCAATGTGTGTTGGTTGTTGTACATGTTGTTCAAGATTAAAAGAATCAACAAGATTGAGAATTTTTGTTGTTGTTATATCCGACTTATCGTCTACATGGAGGTCAATATAATGTGATTATATTTAGTATTTGAGGTAACACATTGATTTGCATACCCATCAGTTCGAAAGACTTAATGTGTGTGAACATGTTCGCCGAGTCCAGAGCTTGACTTTTAAAGTGTTATTGTATAATATACCAATGCCTCCCCATCTACCTTGTTGTCTCGAGATACGTTTAAAGAGTAGCCCTTCGGGGTGAAATTTCCAATAGATATAAGATCAAATTTGTCAGGGTGAAGCCAGGTTTTTGTAATCGCAAATATATCAAATTCATTCTCAACCACATAGTCTTTGACTAAATTGGCTTTGTTTCGAATAGACCGGCAGTTGAGAAGACCAAATAAACAAAGCTGAGTAACAGCTGTATCAGGAGTGTTGGCAATTTTGAATGTAAAGGAATATTGATGAGATTGTTTCTCTTAATTAATATCATTTCTGCCATATATGTTTACAGGCTGATG